CCCCCCCCTTCCCGATCCCGGCCCCGGCCCTGATCAGCCCGACCTACCGCACCGCGCCTCACAAACGTCGTGCGTGTCTCGTGCTCTGCTCCTCCTCTACCGGACCGCATCCATACCTCCTCCGGCGTCATGAGAAACCTCTCCACTCTCTGCACGTTTCCTGCTCCCAACCCCATGCCGGCTGGTCTGCTCCCCGTTGGCACCCGCGGCCTTCTCGCCTAGGTTCACCCCGGGCCGCGCGGTCCCGCCCCGCTGTTGCAGCGGGTCGCGGTGCGCTGCGCTGGCTGCGCTGCGGTGAGCGTCCCCCCTGGGCGGCTGCCAGAGGTTGCCGGGGAGCGCTGCTGTGGGAATAAGTGGGCCAGTGGGTGGACACGGCGACTCGCCACGCTCCATCTCCCTCGTGAACGCCCGCACCTCCGCGGCGGAGCGAGGGAGACAAACAGATGCGTGATTGTCGCTCCTGACATGAGCTGCAGCGTGGCGCCGCGTCCGCGCGGGGGCTCAAGGCGGCGCCCCAGGGGCGCGGCGCGCGCCGGCCGGCCGGGCCGGGCTGGTGCGGTAGTCAGGGTCAAGTTCGAGAGCGAGAGGCTGACGACCCGGGTGGCGAGCCTTGGCAGCCCCGGCGGCCCGGCCGGCCGCCCACGCTCAGGGCCGTGCAGGATGCCTAGCCTTGAATCATCGTACCGGTGCGGCGACCACCCCCTAATCCCGGGCGCGGCAAAAGTTCGATGCCCCGCTCGCCTCGCCAAAATTGTTTCCTGTTCGGCGTGCCTGTTAAAATGAAGTGAATCACACGACGCAACTCAGCGGGACGTAAACTTTCGGTTCGTATCTACACCCGCTTTAGTCCATCAGTTGACTGGTAAAACTTATGTGACATATGTGCACGGAAAAAAATGAATTGGTCGTCAGAACTAAATATTAGTTAATTTCGGGACAATCGATCAAAAAATTGTTGAGGTAACTAATAATTTGTTTTCAGAACCAAGATTAAGTTGTCAGAACAAGCTGTTCGGTGCTTGAGCTAACGCATTCGTTCTAAAAACAAACCACGAATTGGCTCCTGCAGCAAACGTGCTTGGTTTTAGCGACCAACTCTTGGCTCTGGCAACTTAATCTTGGTCCTGACAACAAATCATGAGTTACCTCAACAATTTTTTGATCGATTGTCACGAAATTAACTAATATTTAGTTGTGACGACCAATTCATTTTTTTCCGTGTGTCACATTACAAGTGTGACATCCTTAGCATGTCGCGTTTGTGGTGTGACCTCCTATCTGCCCTGCCTATCACCTTCCTGGCTGATGATGCATTAATTGGTGTGACCTAAACTCAGGTCACATTACATGGTGTGACCGAAACTGATCACACCAACAGACCATTTCAGTTTCGGTCACAAGAGGAAGAAAGGAATAACCAAAACAGGAAAAAGTTGGGCGAGAGGTGAAGAGGGGCGGAAGGGGGGGGGGGGTGGAAGGCAGTGCTTTTCCGGTTTGTTATTCTTTTCTTGTTCTAATCACCTAACTCTGAAATCGTCTATTGATGTGACCCATGGCACATTAGTTTTTCCAGTGTGGTGTCGATGGGAGGGATCAATCCCAGGTAGTAAATCACCTTCACTCAGTGGCAGTGGCTAGTGCCGTCTCTGACCCCTGAGTGCATGATTGCGCTTCGACTCACATTTCAGTCCGGACTTAGAGCAGGAAAAAAGTGAAAGATAACTTTGGGTGTGCCGAGCGGTAGTCAAGCTGATATCCTTGATGGTAATCCCCATTAATGCCTTTCGGTATTGACAAGGAAAACGAACCAAGCTCATAAACTTGGCAGTTTTTGAGAAGGTCAGAGCGATGATAGGACGAAAAGGGCCACACCAAAGTCCACAATGATTACAGTTCTTGCAGTCTGTAATAGTTCTTCCCTGAAAAATGTCTCACCGTAGCGCATTGAGGGATACGATTTTCGCGAGTAAAAAAAAAGAGGTGTTCTCTCAGTTTCCTTTCCACGCGCGGTGCCTCAGCCGAGCCTGAGCTCCTCCCTCTCTCTGAGAGCGCGCGACTTGTGCGACCGGTCCAATAATTGTCCATGAATAGGGTCCCGCTGGAGAGCCTGCGGGACGCGCGGGCGGGGCGGGGCGAGGCGCGGCGCGGCGGGGCGACTGGCAAGGGGGAAGTCCCAGGAGAGCGCGCGGGGGCCTCGTGAAAAGCGAGGACGAGCAGAAAGGAGGGATGCAGGGTTGAACGCTTCGTTATTGGTTTACGTCGCCGTCCCCTGCCAGCCTGCCTTCCCTTCTTGCTTTTCCTGACTCTGCGCCAGCGCCCCCCAGTACCCGGGCGCCCCGCGCCGCCCACGGTTCCCCCTGCCGCCCCGACGGCGTCCCCGTCACCCCGGCGTACGTAAATCGTCCAGCGGACGGCGCCCCGCCGCCCCGGGCGCCACCTGCCCCGCCAAATTTACGCGGCTAACCCCAACACTAACTGCCGCAACGCGCTGCCACCGCATGTCGCCCTGTCTCCCCCTCTGCCACGCTCGTCCACACCCGCGCACACAAACACACACAGCCTCCGCCCGCCCGCCCGCCGCCCGTCCGTCCGGCCGGCCGTCCGCCGGCCGTCAGTCGCCTCGTCAGTAGAGCGGAGGAACGGGAGGCTATGGACCGTTGTGTGGCCCTGCTGCCCCGGCTCTGTTTACCTGTGAGGATGACGCTGGCGACGCTGAGGGCCATGGTGAGGGCGCCTGGAGACACCCTGGAGCCGGGCCGGAGGCTGCGAGCCGCGCTGAGGGCCTCGTCGTCGGCCGGCCAGGCGGGCTGCACCGGCTGGGCGTCGAGGTCGAGGTAGCTTTGCTCAGCTGAGTTGGTCTCGGTGGCGGTGGCTGCCCCCCTCCCCCTGGACCTATGGACCCTGGACTGGACCGACTGGACTCGCCCCGGCCCCGGCGCGCTCCCGGTGCTCGCCCCCCGCTCGTCCTGCGCGTCGTGCCCAACGCCCAGGTCGGTCGCCTGTCGTGCCCCTCGCGAAGCGCCGCGTGTCTCTGTCCGGCACGAGCAGACCGCCCTACGCTGCCCTGCCGCCCGCGCAATCTGACAAACCAAACCGCCGCCCTGCCCCGCCGCGCCCCGCCACGCCGCGCTGCGACACGCCTCGCACTGTGCCCCACGCCCGCTGCTTGCGCCCTGTCCGCCCTGCCACTGTGCTCGGGACCGCCCCTGCCCTGCCTCCCACCCCCTCATCTCCCTATCTCTCTCTCTCTGTCCCGCTCAGACTCTGGCTTTTCGCGCCGCGCTGTCTCCCCCGCACGCTCTCCCTCTCTCTTTCTCTCCCTCCCGCTCTCTTCCTCGTCCACCTCATCCGCGGCGCTCTCTCCAAACCTCTCTCCCACGCCCCCCTCCACCCCTCCCTACCCCAGCTCTGCGCGGAGCTCACCACCCACTGCAGGCCGGGCGGGCCGGGGCGAGCCGGGGGGTGAACAACCCGGCAAGGTGAGAAATAAATCTCAACTAAAGTGTTTTTGCTGACTAGTTTCCTTGTTGTGAGCCCTGCGCCCTGCGGTCAGTGGTTGGGATCAAACCCTGAACGGTGTTTGAGGGAGTTTCGCGCATTTGAAGAGAAAGCCGAGGTCAGCTGGCCGGGGTCATGGGGGGCGTGGGGTCTGGGTCTGGGTGGGCTGGAGCTCGGGTCACCTGAGGCGGAAAGGGGGGTGGCGGCAGGCTGGCTGGCTGGGGCTGATCGGTAGGGGGCTGCGAGCGGTGGGAGCAGCTTCCGACGCTGTACCCCCTCCCCATCTCTCCCCCGCCCACCCCGCCCGCATTTGGGAGCTCATTCATGCCGATGAATCGATGTTGTCTCTAGCGAGCGGTTCGGTTTATTTTGGACCTCGAATCCTTTCTACTCAAACTTCCCGCTCTCGGCCCTCGCGACACTCGCAGCCCGCGAAAGCAATAGACGTTTCCGGGTCTACGCGTTTCGAGAAGAAGTAAGGAACTCGAGACCGAACCCAATTTGTTAAGTTCGTTTTCTCATTTGACAGTGCAGTTCGACGTAAATGACCCCTAGCAGCTCCCTGGTGACTGTGCGCTGACGTTATCCTTTATTTTAGAACCGTTTCCGGTGGTGATTTGTCGAATTGTTTAAACGGGTGCTGCCGTAACCGCCCACTTACGTCACGGGCCAACCTGCAAGAAGATCCCTTGCATCTGCCAGGTGCGGTACTTCCCCCCCGTCGTCATCCCCCCCCCCTCTTCTCCGGTCGGCCAGGCGGCTTGTCGCAGCCCCCGCGGTGCCGCCAAAGGTGTGCCGTCAGACTGCAACCCCTCCCGCACCGCACCCCATCGCCTTTGTGCTAGGGCACGAGTGCGGGGCGGGGCTGTCAATAGAGCAGAGCTCGGCCGCAGAGGCGTGGGAAACGCATTGGCGTGTGCCGTGGCGGGGCGGGGCGGGGCGGGGCGGGATGTGGCGGGAGGACGCGGCACACGTCTCTGGCTCGGCGCCAGGTGGACGCTACAAACGGTTTGGCGCAAAAGAGCAGAACACAATTGCACCATTCTTCGTTTTCAGGGACGGTCTTTCAAAGGTTTGATAATCCCCTTCATCCGATCCGCCACTTTTCCTTCTCACCATATTTGTTTGTCTTTGGTGCTTTCTGCCGGCAGCGGCTGGGCCCTTGCCGAGGCCCTTGCACCTCGCAGGCGGGGCGGGCGCCGGGGCGCGCACGTTGGGCTGCCTACCTCCACGGCGCGCAGGCCCCGGGCGCCTGACCACTGTCCCCTTCTGCCCTCGCAGGTCCCCGCGCTCGGCTGCTCAAGTCGTTCCGAGCCGCGCATACCCCCCGCCACGCCTGAGCCTCAGCCTCCCCAGTGGCACTGCTCGCGTGGGGTAGTGCCGGAGTGCTTGTCAGCTGGTCCGGGAAACAATTGATGCCGGCTGCCACGCCGTGCCACGCCGGGACCGGTCCTGGCCCGCCTGGAGTCCACCGGAGCTGACCGAGCTGACCCTGGCATGGCAGCCTGACTGACTCAGTGGCGTCTGTGTAACTCGCCAGGTGCCTTCAGTCTGATCTATAGATGTCGCCGACGGTGACGAGAAAGTCTCGATACTCTGGAGGGACGTAAACAAAAAGACGTTGGCAATCGTAACAGCATCAACGGCTGTTGTTGACCCCAAAATATTTCTCTACATCAACACATTGACTGAAAAATTTGGCGATGATGACGTCGACAACTTTTGGCGTTGCGTCGCCGGCCTGTCAGTGTGTGCTTGTACACACACACACATGCGCACGCGCGCGCGCACACACACGACCGGTCTGTGGACGTCACGCCCTCCTGCGCACTTCGCACGCCGCCTCTCGCTTTACCGCAAACTGCCTCCTTCGAGATCTCGACGGACGCGTCTCGAACTCATCCGGTTCTTCTCGCGTGCGGACCGCCTTTTTTTGTTGCGCCTTGCGGACCGAGTTGTGCGGTAGGCGGTAGGACGGTGCGAGCTCCGCGTCCAGTCGGTCCGCGGAACGCCTCGGCGACACGCCTCCCCTGGACACAAAGGACGCCAGCATGCTGTCGCGCGACGCTGCGCTGGTGACGGCCGCCCCCCTGCTCCTGCTGCTTCTGCTGGGCGCCGCCTCTGGTGAGGAATTCCCCCGCGCCTGCTGTGTGTGTCGGTTCTTCTGATTAGCAAAGACTCCCGGTCGACCCGGCACACCGACGAGCCTCATTTTACTACCGCCATATTTGACGGCGGTCATCACGACACTGACCTACCTACTCGTGGGAAGAAGAGGAATACATTCGGAAGGTGGAATTCGTTAAGCTGTATTTCGGATCCTAGTGTTCCGACGATGGCGCCGCTGTTGAGCTGCATCTTTCGTTTCTACGCGCCAGAGCGCCTCAGCGATAGGGAAACAGATTATCGTAGGCCGTGGGGCCAAGTGCAACCGCAGACGTACGAACGAACGCGCACAGACACATTGCAGACTGGTGTTGCCGTTTCGGACGTTGCCCCCCATTCACGACCTTGGAAATATATGATCATGTAGGACCACCGACCGGTCGCGTCGAGAATACTGTGTTAAAAATGAAGTGCCGTGGTCGAAAACATAAAGGGAGGAATTGAACGTTAATGTTTAAGTTGGGTAAAGGACTGTCTTCTGTTCCATCTGTAGGGTCACGCCAGCGCCGCCAGGGCCCCTGGGGCGGAGTGCCTCCTGGTCACCGCGGTGGTCATGGCGGCGGTGGCGGCAACGGCTGGCGGGGGCCTCCGGGACTGAACCCGAACCGCCATCCAGGCGGTGGCGGCGGCGGCCCTGGGGAGCAGCCCGGAGGTCCTGGAGGTCCCAGCGGTCCCAGCGGTCAAGGCCAGCCCGACGGTGGCGGCGGTGCGTCGCCCCCGGGCCCGGGTCTCGGGGGGCGACAGGGATGCGTGCCGTCCCTGACCACGATCAACGGCGGCCAGCAGACGTGCAGCGGCCAGCTGGTGTTCGAGGACAACTTCAACCACCTGGAGCAGTGGTCCAATGACGTGCATATGGCGGGGCCGCCGGTACGTACCACCAGCACGCCGAGCCGAGTGCGAACCAGATGCAATTAATGCGGATATGGTCGCGTCACGCCCCGCTGTCGGGCACCGGAACTTCCTGCTATACGAAAAGAATGAAATACCCCCCCCCCCTCTGACAGGACTACGAGTTCGTGGTGTACAAGCGGAGCCCGAGGAACATCTTCATCAACGACGGCATCATGACCATCCTCGCCTTCCTCACGGAGGACCGGTACGGCCCCGGCTTCGTCTCCAACGGCACCATGTTTGTTCGGGGGTACGTAGTCGTCGTGCGCACGTTGTGCGTCATCTCAACCCCCGTTTAGGACCTCCTGACCGCCTCGATCCTGCCCCCTTTCGCAGTTGCACGTCGAGCGACCAGGACCTCTGCGAGCGCACCGCCTTCTCGTACAACATCCTACCGCCCGTGCGCTCGGCGCGCGTCCACACGGCCAACTCCTTCACCTTCCGCTACGGCGTCGTGGAGATGCGGGTCCGCGGCCCGCGCGGCGACTGGCTCTACCCTCGTACGTTTTCCCTTCAGTGGCGACACGAAGAGGTCACGATGATGATGTGTCGCGAGACTTCAATGTGACGCGTTTTCGACGTTGGTTTGCCAGTGTGCTGGCTGTCTTTGAACTGACCCATTCTTCTTGCCCGCGCAGAGTTGACGCTCAAACCATCGCAGTCGAAGTACGGGCCGCACTTCTCCTCGGGGGAGATTCGCCTGCCGTCGCACTTCGGGAATAGGTGGTTGCGGGAGGCGGGCGGTGCGGGCGGCGGGG